ACGTCAGGAAACGGACTGTCCTGGGTCTTCTCATGGTTACCCAAGTCCCTCAGGGACGCGGCGGAACAGTGCGTTGAAACAGACTGCAACCCCTTCCTTATGCATAATTCCAAGTTCGCAGTTCATTAACATTCATGACATTCGACGCTGTGTACTCTGAGCTACGGAGAGCAAGAACTGACGGTCCGACCAAACACGCCGAGCGACTACTGAAACAAGAATCGAGGAGGGCGAAGGCTCCAAGTGCACTGCAGCCAACCAACGAAAGACAAACACAACGACACAGAACTAAAAACAGCAAAGTTTGTCACCGGACATGACCTTGAGCAAATTTCATCTCTGAATCGCACAACTCACGTACCACATCTTCCATCCGAGCTACATGTCGAGCCCATCGTAACCTCGTAGATCTCACTACAATATAAACACCGGGTGACTTCAAATCACGAAAGACCTTGTCATATTTCATTCTTTTTAGTTAAAATACTTACATGGACATGAAATTTACTTACAATCAGATATTGTGCTTAAAATCATACAAATAATTCAACAAATCTTGTGCAGAAATTTTAACGGATACACTGTAGTCAGGTATTAAACACAAGTCCACACACGTCATTTTTAAAAAAAGTCGCAAAACACAGAAGAAACGCAATGTCTGTCCCTAGTCCAGGAGCCCAGACGCAGAGCTTACAAACTGACACACCCTGTAGATGTGTTGGGGCTTCTTGTCTGCTAGTGACGTTGTATTACGCAATCAGCAATCCTGCCCACAAAACCTGTCACTTGAATTACCGCTCGCTCGCTCGCTTGCTCAAGAAGAATGGCAAGTCTTCGTGCTATTATGTAGGTTAGGGAAGCTTCGTCAGTTCTATTCACACACACAAAACACACTCTTTTGCTCGCGCTGAATAGAAGCCGTGAATCACGGCAATTTGGACGATGTGACTACCAGCTTCATTACGAAAACACGACGACCTGGTGTGAACTGCGAGCGTCTTGTTTGCAGACAGACATAATTTACCATTTGAACCAATTACCAACGCCAAGTCGACAGTCCAGACAACTACACAACAAATATAACCTCTATTCCGCTCACAATGAAAAGATGGGTCGAGCATATAGCACGCTTAGATTGTACAGCGTTGAACGATGGCTCCGAGAAATCAATTTGAAAGGAATTGGTCCGGCGGTAATGGGAAATCCCACGAAAGCCATAATTAAAATAGCGGATCTCCGGGTCGAGACTGAAACCTGAATACAAAGCAGGAGTTACAACCACTCGGGGAAAAAATCAGATATAATTAATTTCTAACCGGAAAGCCATCACTGGTGAGTGAATGGTATATGGGAAGATAATATTAAAATATGTCTTACTTCGGGACAAAATTATTACGTAAAGGTAGCTCACAAATCCTTTGAAAATTTGACAAAGTCACAAGATCATTGGAAGACAGAGAAGGAAACAAAAATTCAGGTAACCGTTTTACCGTCTGCTACGCGCATCTCTGAAAGCTAACTTCTACTCTTGGACTCTCTGGAACACAGGCCGAGGGCCCCTTAAGAGAAAAATTTTCGACTATCTGGACAGCAATCAGTTTGTCAAGGACCAACCAGGAGCGATGTCTCGTCGTCTCCTGTTAAGATCCAATGGTCATTTGATGATTCTATTCAGAGAAACGCAAAGAAAGTTGGACTTTTGACATTTCCAAGTACCAACTCACTTCATACGACACAAATAAAAATAGTTATGTCTTCAGCCTTAACAGCTTATCTCTCATTCTCTTTATGTGCGTCTCAGTAACACGATAAGATTATTATTTCATATCCATCTGTCTGTCACACACGACAGTAGAAAGATGAATACAGTCAAGGATGTTCCGTTGTTTTTACACTGACCCATCGTAAAAGGAGGGACAACGTTGAAGAAAATCAACACATTACTCGCGGGGAGTAATAAATAATACTGTCTAGTTCATTCATATTTACTACAATTGCTGGAATTGATTAACTGGGCAGATGTACATACTTAACCATTCGAATACGAAGCTCGTCTTAATGTTTAACAACCCAGTCCGTACCGCGAAGAAAACACAACACGTCACCATTACAAAGATCAGCTGGTCGATGTTATTTAAGAAAATAATCTCTGTTTACAGTGAGTGCAGTGTTGCTGGCTATGAACGCAGATGTTACGTGTCGTTGCAACAAGGCTTTGATAGGAGGTTAAATTCCACTGGCGGTCTCCTCTGATCATGGTAACAAGGTTAAGTAATTTATTAACTAGGTAAGCTGGAATACTTCACTGACGTACATTCTTCGAGTCGGCCATTACAGTTGCAGACTTCGCGAACAGGTACAAATGCCAGCTGACTGGTTGCTGGGCAACTGTACCCACCAGCCACGCACCATCGAAACAAGATGACAGACACATTGCAAATGCACCTTCAACCTACTTTCGCTAACAAGGTAAGCTACATTAGCAGATGGAGACATCTTCCGCAATAAGTCTTAAACAAACAAACGAATCTTTACCAAACTTGGTAACTGTATAAAGGTCATGTCACTAACGTCCAATTCCAAATTTCATCAAAATCCTTTAAGTAGTTTCGGTAGCACAGATATTCAACCCCCAGTTTCGCGTGCCTCGTTCTAAAATCGAATAAAGCTTTCACGTAACAAAATTAATTCTGAAAAAGAATAACGTCATGGCGGCAAGACATTGTTTTCCTAAGATGGACGTTTCAGTCACTCTGCGGTCCAGTGGCGGTTTCCTGACGACGAGGTTCCTTCCTGATTCACTTGTGAACCGCGTGTTATTCGTCGTACTAGCCCCTTAAAGCCCAGTGGTAACTATATTTACCACCTGCTTTAATATAATACGTAACTGCGTTTTGTATTAATGGGTTTCGTAAGATCCTCACAGCGTCGACCGCCAGTCACTGCAAAGTCGCCCGCTCATTGGCTCAGGACAGGCTCCCACGGCAAACTTCTGTGGTGGCGGTGACGACGTTTTGCTACATATATAACATCAGGGTTAATTACTGTATCTGGTCTTTCGATTGTGGTCTGGAACCATCGTAATTACTACGAAAAGCTAACCCACGAAACACTAACGCAGAATCAAATCTAAAACTTCTTGAAGATGGTGAAGAGTCATTTGAATAAAAAAATTTCCTTGGATATTATCCATCGTCTAGTAAATAAAATATACTAGACGGTGGATAATCTCCAAGAAAATCTGTATTCAAATGACTAACGCAGAACATACACGTACAAACTTTTCTGTGTAAGGTTTGAAGTTTCGATTCTGCACTACGAGTGGCATTTCTAGCTTAGAAGAGTCGGTTACTTCTCCAGTGAATAATTCTTGTGTTGCTTACTGCAAATAAATAGGATGTCCTACGTAAATACAGGAATAATGATCAGCATGGAAAGGGCCAGATAAATCACATGACACGCCTTGTTAGTTTTTAAGAAAACAGATACGTGGATGTCTCAGAAGAACAGAAATCTGTTTGATGCTCTCACACGTCAAATCCATTCAGTGACCAATCGTTTTGCAATCCTACAGTGCAACAGGGAACTGCGTCTTTATTTTTCAATGAAGCACGAAAATGAAGAATAATTAGGAACGGTAATCGAGATTAATGAACGTGCAGTGACGTACAGCTGTGCGGTTTTTGTTGAACTTCATTTGCCGACGAAATGTCCAACACCCAGAGCGCGTTCTCAGAACGCAAAACCGCGTTAAATATCGTCGGGAAAAATATAAATTTCACGACGTACGAAGACGGTTAAACCCCTTAAGTAAAAGCTGTCCCCAAAACGAAACACGGAACAAGGACAAGCGAATTTTATCGGGAAAACTGTCTACTCCAGAGAATATAGACTAAAAACGAACGTAAAATTGTTTATGGAACAAACGTAATGTAACAGGCGCACAGAGCAAAAGCAATCCCACTCGACATTTGTACTTGCCCGCTCACAAATTCCTCTGCGTAACGTCTTAACCTGAATCCATCCGAGACAGAAATGTTGAAGTCACAAACAATACAGAATTAAATGGGGGCCACCAAAATACGAAAGAAAGCTTATATAAAACGGGGAAAAAAGCAGCAACACATTTTCTGTTCCGTTACGATACGACTCACCTCTCGACAGCTTAGTTCCTAGCATTCCAGCTGATAGAGTGACCACATCGATAGTGACCCTCATCCGACGACGACAACAAGGCAGTGGTGGGCTGCCAGCAGATAAGGCGCCCTTATCAGCCGTCCTTCACGATCTGTGCATCACGGCAGTGCTCAATGATGGGCGAAGGGCACTCGACAGCCGATTAACCGCATGCAGCGAAGGAAATTATAAATAAACACGCAATTTTGATCGGAAAACCGCAAAGAAACGGACAATTTGGGAGCGAAATTGATCAACACAGAAACAGGACGGCGCGTTCCGCAAGGAATAAAAAAAATGTGACTCTCACCGCTGTAAGGATGACGGTCTTCAGCCCTGACAATATTTTTATCCGAAACGTTGGATGATAAATAAATTACCCCAGACATGGAAGTGGTCGTCGCCTATTCTAAAATCACGATCTCTTTACTGTCATGGACAGACTCAGAACAACGACAGATCTCAGCTGAACTGTCGGGTTTTCGGGCCGCGATCCGAACCCTTGACCTCCAGATCTTTTATCAAGACTATAACAGTTTCAGGTTTTAGTACTTACGACGCATCTCAGCTGGCGCCACCGACGCACGGGTTTCTACGATGAACCTGTAACACAAATGATACGGCGTTAATAACGCGCATGCCGGTATATTAGCGAGATTACGGGGTGGAAATGCGCTGATGCTGTGTTCATGTCCCTTCCTGAGCAATCTGGCCGCTCCGTCCTCCGTCTGCAAGAAACGCAAACCTGGTTTTTAGACATGTCAACGGTCAGGGGATGAGAACCAGTGGCTTTGAGCAGTCACTTCCAGCTTGCGGACAGGCGATGCATGTGAAAACAAAAGATTCTTCCGAAAATCCCAGGATACGAGGTCACTTGAGAAAAAAATCGTACAACAAAATGAACAACGTTGTGAAGACGTGTACTGGATTAAACTGGCTGAGGTTAAATGTGTTCAGCGCCAGTCATCCTCGTACTTGGTAAAACCATGTTTCGTTTACAATGCAGAAACAAAATTTGCATCAGATGGTTGTGTTCTGGGTACT